CTGCAGCAGCAAAAGGCACATGACAGCCCGCTTGGAGTTTGCCAAAAGGCACCTAAAGACTCTCAGACCATGAGAAACAAGATTCTCTGGCCTGATGAAACAAAGATTCAAGTCTTTGGCCTGAATGCCAAGCGTCACTTCTGGAGGAAACCTGGCACTATCCCTACGGTGAAGCATGGTGATGGCAGCATCATGCTGTGGGGGTGTTTTTCAGAAGCATGGACTAGTCAGGATCGAGGCAAAGATGAACGGAGCAATGCACAGAGAGATCCTTGATAAAAACCTGCTCTAGAGTGCTCAGGACCTCAGACTGGGGTGAAGGTTCACCTTCCAACAGGACAACAACCATAAGTACATAGCCAGGACAACACAGGAGTGGCTTTGGGACAAGTCTCTGAATATCCTTGAGTGGCCCAGCCAAAGCCTGGACTTGAACCCGATCAAACATCTCTGGAGAGACCTGAAAATAGCTGTGCAGCTACGCTCCCCTTCCAACCTGACAGAGCTTGAGAGGATCTGCAGGGAAGAATGGGAGAAACTCCCCAAATACAGGTGTGCCAAGCTTGTAGCGTCATACCCAAGAAGACACAAGGTTGTAATTGCTGCCAAAGGTGCTTCAACAAAGTACTGAGTAAATGGTCTGAATACCTACGTGAATGTGATATTGATATTTATATTTGTCATTATGGGGTATTGTGTGTAGATTGATGAGGGGAAAAAACAATGTAATCAATTTTAGAATAAGGCTGTTACCTAACAAAATGTGGAAAAAGTCAAGGGGTCTGAATACTTTCCGAAGGCACTGTAAATGCAGTAATTTACCATTTTGCAATTCTCCAAGCTGGATGTGATGTTCAGGTGCACATGAACACTTGCTACACTGACAAGAAAGACGTTTATTTATTTCCATATTGTAACGTGTCTGAAGTTCACGTATCTCGGAAATCCATGTCTTGTCTCATGTCTGTGTGTAATGGGCGGGTGTGTGGTTCCATAAGTAATATGTTGGCCTGCAGAACTATTGTTATGAAATGTGTATTCTTTAATGGAAAGTATTTCCGCTTTGAGGATAAGCCAGGAGTGTTTAAGATGATTATTTAAATGAAATATGTAAATGTGGGTATAATGAAGATGTCTGTTACATGATTTAATATGCCGTATTTGGGTAAAGAGCTCCATGGTTAATGGTATGATCCATAGGGAGTGGCCATAGGTATAAAGGTACAGTACCTGTTAGTTCAACCTGTGAGCTGGGGAGTTATGTTCTAGCTCTGGTATGTGAGCTGTGTGGGGAGGCTTTCCATAGCCTGGTATACCCCAACTTGATATTTTTGGTTTGGCATGGTAGGCCTGATTGAGGCTTATGTTTTCGATTTAGATTCAAACCTGTATTTTGAGAGTGTTCATTTTGTAAATACCTTTGTAGATTATGTATTCATTGGATTTCGTCATTCACCAGGAACCACCTTTCACTGTTAATAAACTGGACACTATTTTTCACCGGATCCTGCTGCCTCCTGTTACTTACTGCCCTTAAGGCTGCTCCAACATCCGGTCCCTACGACAATGGCCTTTACTTGAATTACTGGAAAACTTCTCAGTAATAAAACTCAAAAGTATTGCGGTTAAACCTAAGATGAACAAAAACTCTCTGACAAAAACACATTACCGAAAGGATGTATTGCTTTCAAAAGTCTTACTGTACATTAGAATGTACAATTTCAAATATTTGAAGGAAAACAACAGGAGGTGTTAACGTGATCCCAGTGTATTCTGTCTGGGACCTGGAAATACCCATGCTGACTAGAGGAAAGGAGGCCATTCCTGATATTGTTGAGGAGGTTGATTCTTGTTGATGTTAGTCCTACCACCACATTCTCTGTTTTTTTCAGAAACAATGCTTCTGCTGCACTGGTTAAATTGTATAATATTCAGGGGATAGGATAGCTTACATCGTGAAGTCCCTTGGTTCAATGAAAGCGAGGTTAGAGATAAAAAGCTCAAAATACCCATATCCATTACACTAAAACCCAACGGCTTTGCTTTAATTAAAAGCATAGAACTGTTAACATTTTTGTGATTGTAGGATGGCTGAGATTGTTAGTTCAGCTAGAAAAATACAATCTACTTCTGTGTTCTTCAACAAACAATGGATACTTTTCCTTAGTGAGTAGACATAAGCAAACCTTCAAGTCAAGAGGGACCTGGCACATATGAACTTGCCGATTTGTAAAGCTAGTTAACAGTTGCAACTGCCTGCATATGAAATTTTAATTACTGAGTGGGGAAGCATAAACGCCAAATGCCATCCTCCCTGCCAGGCAACTAACAAAATTATGTGCAATAACAAACCGTGAGGGTAGGGTAAAATACAGCTTGGAAATCAATGCAGCCTTCTTTTTGAGTTCGGTGTCACAAAGAAATGACAGGGAGAGGCTGACAGAACAATCAGCCACAGCATTGGCTGACTAATAACCAAAAAAGGCTGGGCCTCCATTTAAAGTGGTTGTAAATTATAGCGTGTCAGCGTCACCACTGAATCCCTGCGTTTCCAAAGCCTACTGTTGCATTTACAGGGAAATGTAGAAGATTGTGGTAGTTGTGTATCTTCACTGTTAGTTTGGTTGAGGATGCTGCAGCAGTGACAGAGAGGATGTTTCGTGGAGTTGTTACAGATAGAGTATAATCATATATACAGTACAAGTCAAAGGTTTGGACACTCCTACTCATTCAAGGGGTTTCCTTTATTTTTACTATTTTCTACATTGTAGAATAATAGTGAAGACATCAAAACTATGAAATAACACATATGGAGTCATGTAGTAACCAAAAAAGTGTTAAACAAATCAAAATATATTTTAGATTTGAGATTCTTCAAAGTAGCCACCCTTTGCCTTGATGACAGCTTTGCACACTCTTGGCATTCTCTCAACCAGCTTCATGAGGTAGTCACCTGGAATGCATTTCAATTAACAAGTGTGCCTTGTTAAAAGTTAATTTGTGGAATTTCTTTCCTTCTTATCTCGTTTGAGCTAATCAGTTGTGTTGTGACAAGGGGGGGGGGGGGGGGCAAGAACAGCTCAAATAGGCAAAAAGAAACAACAGTCAATCATTTTAAGACATGAAGGTCAGTCAATACGGAACATTTCAAGAACTTTGAAAGTTTCTTCAAGTGCAGTCGCAAACACCATCCTCATGAAACTGGCTTTCATGAGGACCACCACAGGAAAGGAAGACCCAGAGTTACCTCTGCTGCAGAGGATAAGTTAATTAGAGTTACCAGCCTCAGAAATTGCAGCCCAAATAAATGCTTCACAGAGTTCAAGTCACAGACACATCTCAACATCAACTGTTCAGAGGATACTACGTGAATCAGGCCTTCATGGTCGAATTGCTGCAAAGAAACCACTACTAAAGGACACCAATAATAAGAAGAGACTTGCTTGGGCCAAGAAACACGAGCAATGGACATTACACCGGTGGAAATCTGTCCTTTGGTCCAAATTTGAGATTTTTGTTTCCAACCGCCGTGTCTTTGTGAGACGCAGAGTAGGTGAACGGATGATCTCTGCATGAGTGGTTCCTACCGTGAAGCATGGAGGAGGAGGTGTGATGGTGTGGGTGTGCTTTGCTGGTGACACTGTCTGTGATTTATTTAGAATTCAAGGCACACTTAACCAGCATGGCTACCACAGCATTCTGCAGCGATACGCCATCCCATCTGGTTTGCACTTAGTGGGACTATCACTTGTTTTTCAACAGGACAATGACTCAACACACCTCCAGGCTGTGTAAGGGCTATTTTACCAAGAAGGAGAGTGATGGAATGCTGCATCAGATGACCTGGCCTCAGAATTCAACCATATAATGCCAGTTTTCACACATTCGATAAGAGCCGGATTTAACAAAACTACAGTAGAGCAATAACCTCTGAGATAAAATACAAAATGATATAGAAAGTTGACACCCTAAAAGTCTTCTTTGATTCATCAAATGCCCATGAAATCTTCTTGAATAGGTAAAGTGTGCCAATGCCAGTCTATTTTCCATCAGCTTCTTTAATTAATGACTTTTAAAGGTTGCCATTTTTATCTGGCACTGGATAAACCTTTCTAATTCATACATTTTCAATGATTCACACAGTACTTCATCAAAACGCTATGAAAAGTGACTTGTATATGAATACAATTGGAGTAGTTTTATTTTTGTGAAAAATGTATACAGTGGAGGCTGCAAAGCATTCTCATATCTCACGCAAGACAACAACTTAAGTTTGCAAACTGAGAATATTGGCCTTTGATATGCTCTTCATGGGTGACACCATTTCACTTGTGGACATTGCCCCCTTGGAAGCAATTCTCTTTAGATGTAGAGAGACCTTTTGACTTGAGTAGATAGTGAGTGGAGCAGAGAGAATGTATGGGTCACATTCTTAGCGATGAGAAACATGATTATAAACTGGATGTGTTCAGTGTGGGTGTATCTCTTTGAAAGTGGGATGACCAACTCTTCTACGAGAACTCATTCCCTATAGATTAGATAATATGCTTGGCTACAGAGAAAACGTTTGACAGCGGTTCCCCATAAGGGATACTTCTATGATGTTCTGAAGCACAAAAAAATATCCACTATCCACTCTAGGCCCATATTGCATTTATACAGTAAGTCAGCACTAAAATGAACCATCTTGCACTTCAACTCACCTTTTAAAATCTAAGCTTTCTTACCCACTAACCTTCACCGCACGGATCTGAGATCTGACTTGCAAGCACACCTATGTGTATTGCTTTGAAGTTTTGGAGTGTGTGATGTCAAGTGCCACCAAAGTGAGCTGCAACCATATTTCAAAGGGCTCGGGGGAATGTGATGTGGGAAGGAGAGAGAGAATGAAAGAGAAAGAGAGAGAGATACTCTCTATGGCCTTCTCCCTTTATTCACATCTATCCACAGCCAAACTCTCTATGGTCTACTCTCGCACATCTTTCCACAGCCACACTAATATGGGGCAGCTGGCTGCAGTGCTCTACTCTCGGCTCCCAACAGAAAATCACAGGATCCCCACACCCCTCATTTTACACAGTGAGGAGTTTGAGAGGGGTTTGTGAGCTTGCTCAGGTCCAGGACCAGGCAGGCACACACAGAGAGGAAGAGTTGTGGGGGGGGGGGGGGGGGGGGGGAACCTTACTGTAGTAATCAGGCCCCATGCTGTCATTAGACAGTTCTCAGAGGGGACTTTGGGGGAAAAACAAAACAACAAGCAGAATGAAAGAGAGTGAAATAACATGAGAATGGGCACAGACATGAGCTCTGGTCCGACACCCAGGGGGAAAGTCCCACATGGCTGTCAGCATCCATTTTACTCCCCTCATTTCTAACAGTATGGTAGAGGACTCATGCCCCAGAAGTTTAGACCTCATGTAACACTAATCACACAAAGCATATGATGAAAAAAAAGACCAAGGAAAGATTTTCATGAATAAACAAATACTTCATTACATAATTTCAGATAATGAAACGACCCTCTACCTTCCAGTGTTTCTGATGAAATGTTTAATAACTATTCTGTACATTTGGATGTTCATGCCAAGGTTGTTATACAGTGGGGGAAAAAAGTATTTAGTCAGCCACCAATTGTGCAAGTTCTCCCACTTAAAAAGATGAGAGAGGCCTGTAATTTTCATCATAGGTACACGTCAACTATGACAGACAAAATGAGAAAGGATTTTTAATGAATTTATTTGCAAATTATGGTGGAGAATAAGTATTTGGTCACCTACAAACAAGCAAGATTTCTGGCTCTCACAGACCTGTAATTTCTTCTTTAAGAGGCTCCTCTGTCCTCCACTCGTTACCTGTATTAATGGCACCTGTTTGAACTTGTTATCAGTATGAAAGACACCTGTCCACAACCTCAAACAGTCACACTCCAAACTCCACTATGGCCAAGACCAAAGAGCTGTCAAAGGACACCAGAAACAAAATTGCAGACCTGCACCAGGCTGGGAAGACTGAATCTGCAATAGGTAAGCAGCTTGGTTTGAAGAAATCAACTGTGGGAGCAATTATTAGGAAATGGAAGACATACAAGCCCACTGATAATCTCCCTCGATCTGGGGCTCCACGCAAGATCTCACCCCGTGGGGTCAAAATGATCACAAGAACGGTGAGCAAAAATCCCAGAACCACACGGGGGGACCTAGTGAATGACCTGCAGAGAGCTGGGACCAAAGTAACAAAGCCTACCATCAGTAACACACTACGCCACCAGGGACTCAAATCCTGCAGTGCCAGACGTGTCCCCCTGCTTAAGCCAGTACATGTCCAGGCCCGTCTGAAGTGCATTTGGATGATCCAGAAGAGGATTGGGAGAATGTCATATGGTCAGATGAAACCAAAATAGAACTTTTTGGTAAAAACTCAACTCGTAGTGTTTAGAGGACAAAGAATGCTGAGTTGCATCCAAAGAACACCATACCTACTGTGAAGCATGGGGGTGGAAACATCATGCTTTGGGGCTGTTTTTCTGCAAAGGGACCAGGACGATTGATCCGTGTAAAGGAAAGAATGAATGGGGCCATGTATCGTGAGATTTTGAGTGAAAACCTCCTTCCATCAGCAAGGGCATTGAAGATGAAACGTGGCTGGGTCTTTCAGCATGACAATGATCACAAACACACCGCCCGGGCAACGAAGGAGTGGCTTCGTAAGAAGCATTTCAAGGTCCTGGAGTGGCCTAGCCAGTCTCCAGATCTCAACCCCATAGAAAATCTTTGGAGGGAGTTGAAAGTCCGTGTTGCCCAGCGACAGCCCCAAAACATCACTGCTCTAGAGGAGATCTGCATGGAGGAATGGGCCAAAATACCAGCAACAGTGTGTGAAAACCTTGTGAAGACTTACAGAAAACGTTTGACCTGTGTCATTGCCAACAAAGGGTATATAACAAAGTATTGAGAAACTTTTGTTATTGACCAAATACTTATTTTCCACCATAATTTGCAAATAAATTCATTAAAAATCCTACAATGTGATTTTCTGGAAAAAAAAATCTCATTTTGTCTGTCATAGTTGACGTGTACCTATGATGAAAATTACAGGCCTCTCTCATCTTTTTAAGTGGGAGAACTTGCACAATTGGTGGCTGACTAAATACTTTTTTTCCCCACTGTAGTTTCATATTGTGTACAAAGAATGTGGATTTTATTAACAAAAATGTCCCTTTTCATTCTTCTGCAGGAATTGCTGGCACTCCAGTGATCTTCAATGTGAACGGAGATGCCCCTGGTCGCTATGAGATCTATCAGTACCAGATAAATCACAACACCACAGAGTACAAGATCATCGGCCACTGGGCAGACCAGCTCCATTTAGATGTATGGATATTTCTCTCACTATGACTTCCACTTGTTTATTGCATGGCACCCGTCAAGGTTTTCAGTAATGTAAATCCAAATAAATAACATATGCAGTTAGAAATAGTGTCTGTGAAGGTTTGAGTTTAAGTTTATTTTTTTGAGTTTAAGTTTATTTTTACAGGGACAGTGCACATTAATCAACGTTTCAGTAAAAGTGCCGGTTTTAGCCAGCCGGCTAATTTTCAACCGCAGTCCCTGGGCAGGTTATTAAAAACAATTACAATATAGACAATAACAACATAGAACAAGACATAATTTATACAGTACAGAAAGGTTTATACAGTACAGCATATTATTTGGTGAAAAAAGATGCACTGGCTAAAAACACGTCATATTAAACCATGATATGAATGTATTATTCATTACTGTATCCATAGCAGTCTATGCACCTTGCCTTGAGTTGGGTTGCTTTACCATCTAAGTCATGCAGGACCTGGGACTTATCTATTTCACAATAGGGCAGTAGATATCAGGAGCCTACTGTGGGGTCACTGTTGCACACCCATTCCAGTTTTACAATTTTCATAGATTCCCCCCTAGCTGTTGCGAAATGCAGGCCCAAGGATAGCGATAGTAATATTCACAAAACGCTAACAACCGTGTTGCCATTCAGAGACTGTTTACTTAGCTGATTCAGATTCTAAACCAGGCCATTTCAGGTAACCTTCAGGCATCCAAAACATATGGTAATAAACAAACTAATGGCAAAAGGACAAGAGTGGTATGCGGTATTAAATTATGTAAGCGTTACCATATTACCACATTTGCTCATTCTACCTAATTAGGTGGAAAGTGCCTTTTAAGCAAGGCTTATGTGGCTGAGAAGAGGACAGATACCGTATGCAGTTTCCTGCTGAGTTACATTATATACAAAAGTATATGGACACCTCTTTAAATTAGTGGATTCAGCTATTTCAGCAACACCCGTTGCTGACAGGTGTATAAAATCGAGCAAACTGCCATGCAATCTCCATAGACAAACATTGGCAGTAGAATGGCCTTACTGAAGAGCTCAGTGACTTTCAACGTGGCACCGTCATAGGATGCCACCTTTCCAACAAGTCAGTTCGTCAAATTTCTGCCCTGCTAGAGCTGCCCCGGTCAACTGTAAGTGCTGTTACTGTGAAGTGGAAACATCTAGCAGCAACAACGGCTCAGCCGCGAAGTGGTAGGCCACACAAGCTCACAGAACGGGACCGTTAAGTGCTGAAGCGTGCAGCGCATAAAAATCGTCTTTCGTCGGTTGCAACACTCACTACCGAGTTCCAAACTCCTTCTGGAAGCAACGTCAGCACAAGAACGGTTTGTCGGGAGCTTCATGAAATGGGTTTCCATGGCCGAGCAGCCACACACAAGCCTAAGATCACCATGCACAAACGTGTTCTCTGGAGTGATGAATCACACTTCACCATCTGGCAGTCCGACAGATGAATCTGGGTTTGGCGGATGCCAGGAGAACGCTACCTGCCCGAATGCATAGTGGTGGAGGAGGAATAATGGTCTGGGGCTGTTTTTCATGGTTCGGGCTAGGCCCCTTAGTTCCAGTGAAGTGAAATCTTAACGCTACAGTATACTAGACGATTCTGTGCAGAAATGGTTAGTCGAGATCGGTCTGGAAGAACTTGACTGGCCTGCACAGAGCCCTGACCTCAACCCTATCGAACACCTTTGGGATGAATTGGAACACCGACTGCGAGCCAGGCCTAATCGCCCAACATCAGTGCCCGACCTCACTCATTCTCTTGTGACTGAATGGAAGCAAGTCCCCAAAGCAATGTTCCAACATCTAGTGGAAAGCCTTCCCAGAAGAGTGGAGGCTGTTATAGCAGCAATGGGGGAACCAACTCCATATTAATGTTGGAATGAGATGTTTGACGAGCAGGTGTCCACATACATTTGGTCATCTAGTGTATAATCTATGAAGAAGGCTGTATTCTATGCTTTCAGATAAGAACAGCTTTCAAAGCAATGACTTTGTGATTTATTTTATTTTATTTTTTTAATGGTCCTTAAAAACAGATATCTTTCATCCCACCCTCCTCGTGTTTTTGGTTTTGAGAGTTTTTGGATTTATTCTAATCCACTAAAAGTTAATTGAATTGTGCCCTCATGCATATGTAATATTTATTTTTAATATTCAAAAACATAAACAAGATAGTTGCGGCCACACAATGTGATCAGTGTTAACTTTAACAGGCAGTGGGTACGTCTACATTTTGGCCAATTGTATTCCTGAATGCCGGTCATTGACCTAATGCAAAGCCAACACTTCTTGTCCCTTCAAAAGAGTTTACCCTTCTAAATTCATTCAATTCATTTACTATCTATTAAGTCATCTATTAATAGCTATTAATTAATATATTAATAACAAGAAAGTGATATTTCTCCATTTCTATTTTAGATTTAAGATTATAAAATAGTCACAAAAAGTATAGTTTTATTGACCTATTGATGAACTGCTGTTAATGTAAATGGCTAGCTAATTTATATATCCTAGATCCCTAGTTAACCATTGGTAATCTGAACATAGTAAACTACATCATTTCTGAAGAGGTGTCATTTCAGAATGAGGGCTGCTGTAGCTCTGCTGGTGTTGTTGTTCTGTCTGTCGAGGGCATGAGCACAGGAAAGGAGGAGAGTGGAGGGGTCAGAGAATGACATCATTCAACAGAGTGACAATGAAGAGGTAGAGAGCAGGGTGAGAGATTCAGATTAAGAGCCAAAGGCCTGAGGATACAGAGACGACCCACAACTGACTGGCCAGGCCACCACACACACCCCTGCAGTACACTCCTCTCCCCGCCCCCTTCCCCTCCCTGCATTCCTGCCATGTACTCAATCACACACCTAAAATTTAGGGAAGATCTAGGTGTCTCAGAGTAGCATTGCTGATCTAATATTACTGTTCAGGTCCCCCTTTTCCATGTAATTAGCAGATTCAGAACTGTTCAGCACTGAGGAGGGGTCCCCTGATTGAGTTATCATTATGGGAAAAGGCCCATTTAATAAATGATTCTGTATTCTTTATGGTTATATTGCATTTTGCCCACCCACCCACAAGCCGTCAAATCCTTGCTTCTTCCTTCCTTGTTTCCTTCATTCCTATCAAAACATTTTACTAGCTGTCAAATCCTTTTTTCTTCTGTGAAGAAAAAGTGCTTTGAGAGGGAGGTAAGGAATGAAGGAAACAAGGACAGAAGAAAAAAGGATTTGACAGCTAGTAAAATGTTTTGATAGGGAGGGAGGGAGTAGCCACAATACCTAGCAAGGTTATTATAGTTTTGTGTTTTGATATTAGTTTTTTTTATTATTAGTTTTTTGCTATTATTACTTTTAGTTTCAGTTAGTTTTTAGACCTGATTTGCTCATTTTCATTTTGTTTTATTTATAAAAAAGAATCTGTCTATTTCGTTTTTTATATTATTTTGTTTAGATTGTAGTTTTAGTGTTAGGGACAGAAAACATGTGTGGGAGGCTAGGACCCATTTGTGTTGTATTGATTTTGTGTGGTTTTTTGGGATGTTACTTCTTGCCACTGGGGGACAGTAATACTGGGTCAGGTCATAGTTTAGGTTTAAATTATAAAGTTAATCTCAATGTCACTTGGGTTTAAAAGGAATAGGGTTAATTTAAAGCTAGAATCCTTAGTTTCTGTATCCATTTTTTTTTTACTTATACATTAATTATATATACCCATTGACTCTTAAAGAGTATAATTTATAAATGCCTCATGAGCTCATACCCCATCATAACCCAAAATAAAAGCCTTTTTCCCTCCAATGTTTGAAAACAATGTAAATGTAAACAAACACTCAAAACATGGTTAAAACTATCATTTTAATATAATGGATGGTCAGTCCTTGCAGCCACACCTCTGTCTATGAATTTGAGAGTGATAACATTTCTACAGGCCCATCCCTCAGCTTTTTACAAAAATAATCAAGTTAGCTACAGATCTTAATTTGAGTTAGCAGGAAAATAATCCTGCACCAACAGGAAATTTGAATTATTATGTGGATTATAATTAATGGACATGTTTGTAGGGGGTGATACAAAATCAAGTCAGAAATTTCAAAAGGGGAAATTACAAACTTCAGAAGCCTTTTTAAACCTCAAATACACTACAAGTTTTTAATTTCCTGCATTGCAGGAAAGTTATCCTGCAACAGAATGTTAAAATGAAGATCTACATCTGCACCCAGACGAGTGTACTGCAGGTGTGTGTGTGGTGGCCTTGCCAGCCTTGGGCTCTTAATCTGAATCTCTCACCCTGCTCTCTACCTCGTCATTGTCACTCTGTTGAATGATGTCATTCTCTGACCCCTCCACTCTCCTCCTTTCCTGTGCTCATGCCCTCGACAGACAGAACAACAACACCAGCAGAGCTACAGCAGCCCTCATTCTGAAATGACACCTCTTCAGCTCTTCATTAATGGGTCAATAAACACTATAATTTTGTTTTATAATCTTAAATCTAAAATAGAAATGGAGAAATATCACTTTATCGTGCCATTAATGGATGAATGAATAGCTATTCATAGATTACTTAATATACTGAACAAAAATATAAACGCAACTTGCAACAATTTCAAGATTTTACTGAGTTACAGTTCATATAAGGAAATCAGTCAAATGAAATACATTCCTTAGGCCCTAATCTATGGATTTCACATGACTGGGCAGGGGTGCAGCCATGGGTGGGCCTGGCTCCCACCCACTTGGGAGCCAGGCCCACCCACTGGGGAGCCAGGCCCACCCACTGGGGAGCTAGGCCCAGCCAATCAGAATGAGTTTATCCCACAAAAGGGATTTATTAGAGACAGAAATACTCCTCAGTTTCATCAGCTGTCCGGGTGGCTGGTCTCAGACGATCCCGTAGGTGAAGAAACCAGATGTAGAGGTCCTGGGCTGGCATGGTTACACGTGGTCTGTGGTTTTTAGTCCGGTTGGACGTACTGCCAAATTCTCTAAAACAACATTGGAGCGGCTTATGGTAGAGAAATGAACATTCCATTTTCTGGAGAAATATTGTAATGGGAATTTTCTATCTGTGCAAATACAAACATCCTTTCAAATCCATATCATTATTCCCTCTCTGCCTCTTATCTTCAAGATGTTTCACAATATTATTCAGTACATGTCATTCTACTGGTAATCTAAGCATATAAACTGTAAATGCATTAATTTACATGCATTTAACACATTTTTTATCATATTTTATTAATATTTGATATCAGTCCTCATTTAAGTAGGCCTACCTTCCATTTTTAGTAAATGAAGCAGACGATGTAAATTCATGTATCATTTTTTAGATTATTTAAAAAGTCTAAGCAATATCCAATACAACATTTGTTTACTCTAATCGGGCAACTCAACCGGCTGGTTTAAGTCACGCAAACAATTTATTTATTTTTTGGGTGTGCCAGTTAAAGGCTTAATTACTGTTTTATTTGCATAATATAAACTTTTCGATAAGTGCGAATGTTAATCTAAGTTTTAATCAAATTTCATTAGGCCTATTCAAGGAAAATATCCATTCAGAAAGTACACTATGTAACAGTCACAGACAGTCAGATAACTCCCCCTCTCCTTCACCTTTTCTCCACCAGACTAAGGAGATGCGGTGGCCTGGAGGGACATGGCAGGTACCCCAGTCTATCTGCAGCCAGCCCTGTCATCCTGGGGAGAGGAAGAAAACAGTGAAGGGTGTCCCCTGCTGTTGGCACTGTGAGCGCTGTGATGGCTACCAGTACCAGGCCGACACCTACAACTGTAAGATGTGCCGCTTTGACCTGCGGCCCAACAAGAACCACACGGCCTGCGAGGCCATCCCGATCGTCAAGCTGGAGTGGAGCTCCCCCTGGGCCGTCATCCCCGTCCTCATCGCTGTGCTGGGCATCATGGCCACCATGTTTGTGGTGGCCACCTTCATCCGCTACAACGACACGCCTATTGTGAAGGCGTCAGGGCGCGAACTCAGCTATGTGCTGCTGACAGGCATCTTCCTGTGCTACGCCACCACCTTCCTCATGATCTCAGCACCTGACGTTGGAATCTGTTCCCTCCGACGGATCTTCCTAGGTCTGGGGATGAGTATTAGCTATGCAGCGCTGCTCACCAAGACCAACCGTATCTATCGCATCTTTGAGCAGGGCAAGATGTCAGTGAGCGCCCCCAGGTTCATCTCCCCGGCCTCCCAGCTGGTCATCACCTTCAGCCTGATCTCAGTGCAGCTCCTGGGGGTGTGCATCTGGTTCGGTGTGGACCCATCTCAGGCTATCATCGACTATGAGGACCAGCGCACGTCCAACCCGGACATGGCCCGTGGCGTGCTCAAATGTGACATCTCAGACCTTTCTCTGATCTGCCTGCTTGGCTTCAGCATGCTGCTCATGGTCACCTGTACGGTGTATGCCATCAAGACCCGGGGGGTGCCAGAGACCTTCAATGAGGCCAAGCCCATCGGCTTCACCATGTACACCACCTGTATCGTCTGGCTGGCCTTCATACCCATCTTCTTTGGGACTTCACAGTCAACAGAAAAGGTAAATGTTTATTTTAACAATTTAACTCTTGGTAATGATGCTTTTAAATGCAATACCTATTAATTCATAATAATCACATTTTAAATGTTTTGTTGTTGAACTTTAGTCATATTATGATAGGAACATTTTATTTTCATTATGCATCTGTTTAAAACAATAAATTATGAAAGAATTTAGTTATTAGCCATTACTCATACTATCCTGTTTTGAGGAATTTTCCAATGTTGGCCGATTGAACTAGCTTGTAAAACTAGCTTGTAAGTGGTGAGCACCACCAGGACAAGCAAATTAAATTCACTGGTGTATGCCGAGGATTTCTCAAGTCTGTCCTAGAGCAGATGCCATTGAAGCTAATCACAGAAAGGAAAAAACAGCATGTGATCCTCCTAGAACAGAGCAAAGCTGGTGCACAACCCCCTTGTCTTGAAAAATAAAACACATTCGTAGGTTTTGATATTATGCTTAATGTGTACAATTTTATTTAGGCCTCCGTTGGGTAACATAACTGTACTGTCTATATTGAGGACTATCGCTGTAGGAAACAAAGCAGCCATTGAACGTCCCATACAGTAATAGTCCAATTACTGAGGTAAGCTGTTTAGGAAGGTCAATGGGCAATACAAAGCAAAACGTGGCCATCTTTACGATGGTGAGAGCTGCATGGTAATTGCTGTTATTTTCGAAGAAAAGCATACAATCATGTTAACATAATTATACACCCCGGGGGGACAGTTTTGTCCGAGCACAAGACATGTGATACATCGGAGTGAGACCTGCAGTCTTGTACACCCACAGAGGTTAGCAATGGCAGCATGTCTGTCTTCTATTGGCAGGTTGACATTTATTGTCATGAATATTGCCCTGGAGGCAGAACTGAGGGATTTCTGCTAGATGGGCCAAGCCGCAAAGTCATAATTTAATTTAAGGTTAGGGTTAGGCATTAGGTTAAGCAGTGTGGTTAAGGTTAGGGTTAAGGTTAGGGTTAGGTTTAAAATATGATTTTATGACTTTGTGGCTGTGCTAGCTAGGGACCACTCTGCAGAGCTGCCTCCAGAATAAGATTCATGACGAAAAATTCTAGCCTGCCTTCTATTGGTTGTGATTATTGTTTACAGTGTACATTGGGGATACATTACTTCACCTTAATTTATCAGCCCACACAATTTAGATTTGTAGGCAATCGTTTGAGGATATAGAGTGCCAAACTCCCAGGGAACTCCAATTGAAAATGCAAATGTATTTTGGATCTCCTGCTGTGGATGTTTTGGTTATAGAGATACGTTCTGAATCATGTGAACAACTAGCTCTAATTGAGTCACCTTGCAACCACCTGGAAGGGGTCTTGTTACATAACAAGGCTCTTGTTAAATTTTTTCCCTTGAGGTCCCCACAACGGCCCTTTTTTTTCCTCGAGGCCACCACACCAACCCATTATCATTTTGCGCATAAAAAACCCAAGTTAGACAGGCCCACTGGGCAAAAAATGGACCAGCCCATCTGGCATTTGCACGAAATGCCAAATGACCAGTTCGCCCCTGCTCCTGGTTGACTGGCAGCAGGAGTAGAGTCAGCCCAGGAGGTGGTAGGTGGCAGCAGTAGACTGGCAGGTAGCGATAGGGCTCTGTTAATTGTGCCATTGTCTCCTGGTTGAAAGGAGGGTGGCATAGCACCAAGCTCTCTTCTGTGTTTGATAAGGAGGACAATGCAGCTGATTGGCAGGGTTGTCAGAACAGGGCTAATCATGCATGACGATATGCCATGCTCTGCCAATCTGGGATGTTTAACTTCTATGTAGAGACAATGGAGAGCATGGCTTTACATTGCTATGGCCATACACATGACATAAAGCTTAAAGAGCAACTATAAGAGTTGCATAATGTATTCTTAAAAAAAAAAGCTTTTTAAAGGCTATCCAATGGTTTCTTCAAAGTTTGATAAAAAGGGAGGCACTGCAGCAAAGAGGGAAAGAGGTGTAATGCAGTATGTTCTGTATTGTACTGTGGAAGCAGATGATAAATGCTCATTAAAGCACAAAATAGCCTTAAAATATATTCCTTATCTTGTCTTACTTCAAAGGAAGCTTTTGCTGGCTTTCAACCACCGCAAACGGCAATAAGTAATGACTAACATCTCGAGCATTTTCGCTGCAATTAACAAACCCCAGCCAATGGGAATACAGAAATATAAAAAAGCGAATCTTATTAATGCATTAATGTTTAGATGTTTTTATCTGTTTGAAGGCGCTGCGTGAGGATTGTCGCTGTGATATTATGGACCCAGATAAATTTCTGGCACTTGGGATAATGCAGAGAATTTGAATTGTGGTGGTTCGAAGGGAGGGCCAGTTTCATGAGGCAATGACTACCCCCATCTCACTTAATGGTCCCTGGCACTGTCTGCCTTCCAGTGACGAAGGCGCTAGCATGCACAGGGCCAGGGATAGGGCCCTTTGGATGGCACTGTAGCTGCAGTCAGGTGCAGGCAGTAAGCACAAGGCACGGCTGGTGAGAGTCCATTATGTTTGATTGATCCAACCCTGCAATCCAAGTGCTGCAGCCCCAACTCCAACCAGGTCTGGCAATTCCATACAAATATGCATAATTTGATCATCATAAACGGTAAGGCTTTTGTTTCTAAGGTATTTCATAAGGATAATAGGGTGCTCATATTTTTACCATTTAAACCTATACTACGATGCGAATGTAGTTACCTTACCACGTCTGGAAAGAAAGGCAGGGGCTGAAATAGCAGCTGGCTGGAGGGAGCACAGATTTGATGCCTAATCACTTTGGAGAGAAAGGTTTTTCTGCTCCTAGAACAGACATAATGGCTTCGCCTGCTGGAGTTTTCCTGCTGTGGCAATGAGGCACATTGGTGATCATATCAGTTTGTCAAGGCGAATCTATCTGGACAAGGCCGATGGACGGGGACAGGGGTCCTGGCCCCCCTCACAGAGTGACTCCACGCTGTACTCCGGAGGGGCAGCAATATTGTGCCGGGCTCACCTAGGGCCGTGTGTAATCTTCTCAGGAGATTACATACTCCCCCTCAGTCCCCCTATCACTCTTATTTTTCTCAGGCATCCTTTCTTCTCAAAGGACGTTTCTTTAGGGGCTTCATATACTGCATACAGAACAGATATGTTATGATTCAGTAATACATTATTTTATTTAGTTAAGTCTTTGGGACATATGGCAAGCAGCACAACCTCTTTAAATTTATATTATTGGCTGACTGAAGTTAGAGGTGCAAAAACAGAGTGCCAAAGCAGCACTTTAACTATTGTAAGATTAGTTATAGCTGTTGACATTTTCATGACAGAGGACCTGTCGGGTTATTTCCTGTTGCCATACCACTCAGTCACTCATGATGTCTGCAAATGTAATGTCAGTCTCCACCTCAGGCAAATCTGTTAGCGAGGTGGCTGGGAGCTGTGTTTCCAATTTACACCCTGCTCACTTCTTTCATCAGTCCCGGAATAGCTCAGCAACCCTATCCCAAAGGGAGATGGAATTATGTTCAAAATAAGAAGTTGTTAACGAAAAGTATTTTGCATTTCTGTAGGAGGATATCCCTGATACAGTGAGGGAAAACAGTATTTGATCCCCTGCTGATTTTGTACGTTTGCCCACTGACAAAGAAATTATCAGTCTATAATTTTTATGATAGGTTTATTTGAACAGTGAGAGACAGAATAACAACAAAAAAATCCAGAAAAACGCATGTCACAAATGTTATAAATTGATTTGCATTTTAATGAGGGAAATAAGTATTTGACCCCCTCTCAATCAGAAAGATTTCTGGCTCCCAGGTGTCTTTTATACAGGTAACGAGCTGAGATTAGGAGCACACTCTTAAAGGGAGTGCTCCTAATCTCAGTTTGTTATCTGTATAAAAGACACCTGTCCACAGAAGCAATCAATCAGATTCCAAACTCTCCACCATGGCCAAGACCAAAGAGCTCTCCAAGGATGTCAGGGACAAGATTGTAGACCTACACAAGGCTGGAATGGGCTACAAGACCATCGCCAAGCAGCTTGGTGAGAAGGTGACAACACTTGGTGTGATTATTCGCAAATGGAAGAAACACAAAATAACTGTCAATCTCCCTCGGCCTGGGGCTCAATGCAAGATCTCACCTCGTGGAGTTGCAATGATCATGAGAATGGTGAGGAATCAGCCCAGAACTACACGGGAGGATCTTGTCAATGATCTCAAGGCAGCTGGGAGCATAGTCATCAAGAAAACAATTGGTAACACACTACGCCGTGAAGGACTGAAATCCTGTAGTGCCCGCAAGGTCCCCCTGCTCAAGAAAGCACATATACAGGCCCGTCTGAAGTTTGCCTATGAACATCTGAATGATTCAGAGGAGAACTGGGTGCAAGTGTTGTGGTCAGATGAGACCAAAACTGAGCTCTTTGGCATTAACTCAACTCGCCGTGTTTGGAGGAGGAGGAATGCTGCCTATGACCCAAAGAACACCATCCCCACTGTCAAACATGGAGGTGGAAACATTATATATCAAAGGGATGATGGACGGGGCCATGTACCGTCAAATCTTGGGTGAGAACATCCTTCCCTCAGCCAGGACATTGAAAATGGGTTGTGGATGGGTATTCCAGCATGACAATGACCCAAAACACACGGCCAAGGCAACAAAGGAGTGGCTCATGAAGAAGCACATTAAGGTCCTGGAGTGGCCTAGCCAGTCTCCAGACCTTAATCCCATAGAAAATCTGTGGAGGGAGCTGAAGGTTCGAGTTGCTAAACGTCAGCCTCAAAACCTTAATGACTTGGAGAAGATCTGAAAAGAGGAGTGGAACAAAATCCCTCCTGAGATGTGTGCAAACCTGGTGGCCAACTACAAGAAACGTCTGACCTCTGTGATTGCCAACAAGGGTTTTGCCACCAAGTACTAAGTCATGTTTTGCAGAGAGGTCAAATACTTATTTCCCTCATTAAAATGCAAATCAATTTATAACATTTTTGACATGCGTTTTTCTAGATTTTTTTGTTGTTATTCTGTCTCTCACTGTTTAAATAAACCTACCATTAAAACTATAGACTGATCATGTCTTTGTCAGTGGGCAAACGTACAAAATCAGCAGGGGATCAAATACTATTTTCCCTCACTGTATATGTTCACCACAGAGAGTACATTTATCTGATGACAATCTTCCAATCTTCAACATATTATCTTCTCTCTTTTTTGTGGATACAGTTTTTTTTTATTGATGTTGTTGTTTTCTACTACCATACTGAATCAGCAGTACTGTCTAACAATGCAACCAGATGACCTATATGATCTGACACATTTAATTCCATTGAGAATATAATATAATTTATATGGGAAAAGCACTCTCAGGCACACTCTTAGGCATTGTATTGATGTTCTCAAGATGTCTCTCTGTGATCCTTGCATGTAGCCATGTTTTCAGATCACAGCTGTCTTTACACTGAGTCGACTCCAACCCCTCTACCACAGCCCGGGACCCGAGGGCAAGACATCTGTAGTACAGTCACTCATTGGGAGGCCTCCTCCATTAGTCACATGTCATAAACAAACAAATAAACACACCAATAAAAACACAAACAGGAGTTGATGAATAATGCAAAGAGCACTTGACAACAGAGCAGTTTGCATGTGTCCACTCCATGTGTGTTATTGCATCTGATGGTGGGTGTTTGATATTGCTGGAAGATCTACTAGGATACATAAGTGCACTCGTACGTGTCTAAGTAAAGTTGTTTTTGTTCTAGTCTTGTATAAACAATGTATAACTAGTACTAGACTGTATTTTCACAAAGCCAAAGGTCTTTGCTGTCGGGGGGAACCATATCTTGAGTAGGTTACCCTCTTCTTACCCTCTTAAACTGGATAATTTCTATCTTACCTTACCACAATGTTTCTCTTTTTCTTCTCCATCTCCCCCCTCTCCTTCACAGATGTACATCCAGACCACGACTCTGACCATCTCTGTGAGCCTGAGTGCCTCTGTGTCTCTGGGGATGCTCTACATGCCCAAGGTCTATGTGGTCCTTTTCCACCCGGAGCAGAACGTGCCCAAGCGCAAGCGAAGCCTCAAGGCTGTGGTCACCGCAGCCACCATGTCCAACAAGTTCCCCACTAAGGGTGGCTTCCGGCCCAACGGAGAGGCCAAATCTGAGCTGTGTGAAAGCCTGGAGACACAAGGTTAGCACCAAGGGCCTCGGGTTAGGGATGGAGCGAGACGGGAATAGAGATCAGGGAGGAGAGAGGAAATAAGGATACGTTTTTATAACACTCTGTCCTTGAGTTTATGCCTTAATGTCATTGAGTAATTTCGAGGGGAAAGTATCGGGCTATAAAATTGAAAAACAATCCTCACCTTTATGTAAACTTAATTGATGCCATTGTTATTTTACACCTCAACAGCTTTGGGAAATTAGCTGGTGTTATTTTCAGGATGCAGGGAATTGGAAGGGCATTTTTTTTGTGCCAATCCGTGTGGCATTAAGCATTGGCTGATGCTCTAAAACTTGGCAATGTCTGCAAGCAGGAAATAAAGAACAGAACAGGGTAATGTGGATCGATAGGAAAGGCTTCACATTCAGGCATCATACTGTAGAGCTGGCCAGGTGTATTAACTCTCCAGCCTCCAGCCATTTCATTGGTGCAATAGAAGGCAGGATTATTACTCCAGCACTTCAGTCTATCCTACAGTAACACAGCTGCCGTGGGCGGAATTAGCAAATGCCATAATTGTAAAAACATGTATTCCAAATCATGGGGAAATAATTTGATTTATGGATAGTCACACTCATTCATCCAAACAGAATGATGTTTCCCTGTATCTAATGTATCATCAGTAAATATTCCCATCACCTTTGGAGAACCAAAGCCAATGTTGAGAACATGTTTGGAATTCTCTATCATAGTGCTATTTGAAATATCCAGTTGCACTTTCTCTGAATGTGTAGGAAACAGGAGATGTGGCCATGTGTCATTTTTCAGAGTGTCTATGTAAACTCTCAATATGGGGATTGTCACAGAGAATGCTACAAGGAGATGACAAGAGGTAGAAAATGGCATGCCATTGGGAAATGGAAAAAATTATTATAGCCCCCATGAGAGATGCTTCCCCAACTTCACAGTTTGACACCTATACTATGACCCCTCTGGCCCAAGCCAGGGGACTAACAGCTGCTCTTTGTGCTTGTGTGTCAGACTGTGACGAGGGAGGGGAGCCCTGTGAGAGACTTTAGACACACAGGTAACGGATGGAGAGCCTCTATCAGCTTGCCTCTATCACTCTGTATGACTGACCACTTTTTACCCCATTTACTTTGTGCTAATGTTCAGTTGGATCCCATGCCTGCCTAAGCTATGTTTGCACAAAAACTCACCCACAGCTATAGCACCTTGGATTGTGTCAGACAGTTCTCACGCTCACATACACACCCTTGACACACAGACGCTGATGTCGGTAGACAATGTTGGCATGTTCTGCAAATGGCCTGAGAGCGTGGTAACAGCCTGATGGCAGCCGATGTGGGGAGATGACACCATTCTGGGCTGAATGCGGGGGACAAGTGAAAGCCGCACGTCCCCTGTAATTTGTTTCCCATGTTGACAAACGAAGGATTTTTCTGTAATTGCTGTAAAACAACAATAAGAGGGGGTAGAAGGGCAAAGACAGATGGATCTGCCAGCTCCAATTCTTTCTGGACCATCTATTTTTTATCTTAGCCTCGGAGCGAATAAATATTTACCGGTAAATAAGGTTCATTTATCAGTGCTGCTCTGGGAGAGGTTCTGGGTGGAATGTAGAGTGTTCCCCCCACACCCTCCCTCTCCCCCCACTACACATCCCTTCCCTCCAGTGCTGTTGCCCTCCAACCACCCAAGCTGTCAGCAGTCGCCTCTCAGATTTATCCGCTCTGACTCACCCAATCAGCGAATGCTGTTGTGGACAAGATTGGCAGATTTGTGTGGTGATTACACTGCAGGATGAGCAAGCTGATGACGCCGATATTTAGAGAGGACACACACCATACGCACACACATAAATGTGTGTGTGTATGGCAGGTAGAGACATATGGTAATGTTGGGTTACAGCATGTTAGGACACTGCCAGCACTGGTCTCTCGGTCCACTGATATGCCCTAAGGCCGTCTCCCCTGGGTTGTCTGCCCATGGCTGTGACACCAAAGCCAATCCAAAAGCTGATAAACCACATTCAAATGTATATTTGCTCAGGAATGACAACTAATATCGGTAAATTCAGGCCACAACATTTTGTCAACTTTATACAGTATCTCTCACATCTGGTAATTGAGTTATACAATGTTCACCATGTACTACAAAGTCACATATTGTATTCTATTGCTCAATGTTATCTAATGTTATCACAATTCTAAAAGACATGTTCTATGCTCTTCTTCAATGGCATTATATCTATGGACATGGTGCCACTGCTGCATGCTTTGCTTGGTGCACAGAGAGAGATCTAAGATCTGCATGTAGTTACGGAGCCTTGCATTTGAATGAGTACTATTGCATCACATACTACCGTATACTGTTTGTTAAACTAAATAACAGCTGCAAAGAATACTTTACCATGAAATAGTCTTCACTTCTAGATCAAGTTGCAATTACTGGTTAAAAAAGTAATTTTAAAGTCACTTCCAGTACTGTATATATCCATGTGGTGACATGTTACAACAGCATCCTGATAAGGAATCCAATATTAGTTTTGATATTCAGTTACTAGCTGCAGCCACATCTGTACCCTGCTCTGCCTGACTTTGCATCAGATCCAGGAAATCTGCATTTATATGCAATTTACAGTTGGCAACACATTTCCCAGGAAGTATTTTAATACTAACCACAAAACATGTTACTCACTGCTTGCTATTCATATGAATTACCCTCTTACACTATTGGTTCCACCTGTACTCTATGGTGACACTTGGGTCTGATAAAGTCATGCATAAATAGAACCTGTGCAAGCAATCACCTTAATGGACTGGAAGATGAGCCCTTGACAGATGGTTAAATTAGCCTTTAATGAATTATCCACATCTTTTCCTTTTTCTCTTTTCTCTCTCGCTTCCTCTCTCATGACTCTATTCACAGCATTGGCCTCCAAGCAGACATACATCAGCTACAGTAACCATGCCATCTAAGAAACAGACAGTGGAGACCCGGCTCGGAAGCCTAGCAAGGACCTGCGTGTGGAATGAACGAACACCAAAACCGGAGCACCAAGTTGCAAGAGCAGTGGAAAATGTGGAGAAATTAGAATAATCACTCAACATACTGAACAGATGTCATTATTTTCATGAAGACCAGTCAATGCAAGGCTATTGAATGCCAAACAAAAGCAGTGGGAAGGTTCCTTGGGGGGTGGGGAGGTGGGGGTTTCAGGCAGATATTACAGTGATGTCTCCCCTCCCCATCCCCCTTGTAACATGTCAGAGACATCAGGCAGTCACATTTCCAAATTAAGTCAGTGTTTTCCTTCTGGAGTTTATAGAACAGCTTTTCTCTTCTGGTGTTTTGTCTGAAGCTGACTAACACCCTGACTAACACCCTGGCCAACACCCTGGCTAGCTCCCTGACTATAACCTGTAACATTTACATTATGTTGTCATCATTTTAATGAAGATCATAGTTGTGAAACAGAGAAAACAAATATGCAACTTTCAAACATCTGAATATTCAGTGTTACAGCATGGGTCCAATAAATGTTTCCATCATGGACAGTACATCAAATATAGCAGTGGGTTTTCCCAGATGATGGCTATACCATATCTTATACCATCTTTACGGTCCTTGTGTACAGTCCTAGAGCATGCCTGTGGGAGCATAATGTGTACTGTGCTGTGTTGTCAAAATCTATGGAATGCAACATGTGTGAGGATTGCGGTTCAATAGTCACAGTGGCGTTATCATTGTGGACTATTACACACGTGATACCTTTTGCAGATGAACACAGATAAAATACAAGAAACAGCCATAAGAATTAGCTAACAAGTAAAAGCCTTGTATGTACTCCACTTCCTATTTTTCTGTGAAATACAGCCTCAAGACTGTCCCGTGTAGCTCAGTTGGTAGAGCATGGCGTTTGCAACGCCAGGGTTGTGGGTTCATTTCCCACGGGGGACCAGTATGAAAAAAAAAAAAATGCACTCACTAACTGTAAGTTGCTCTGGATAAGAGCGTTTGCTAAATGACTAAAATGTAAAATGTAAGACTACAGCCCATAGACAGCTGAAGTGCAATGCCTCACTGCATCCAAGCTGGCATTCTTACATGTGAGAATATCATTTCATGGTCTTGTTCCATTAGAAATTCCGAAGTTCCATCTCATCATGTGACGAATTTGGAATCTGTACCAGAAATGTCTAACATAACATATAGCCATTTGATGACACATTATGTAATGGTACAAAACACACTCGTTGGAGTATCAGCAGTGTACTCCATCCAGTGTTCACCATCCTTAGTTACGTTATTGACTCTTTTGCAAGGCGCCTGTGATTTCAGTAAAAGCGCTTGTTCCTTTCATGTTATTCAGAGAGAGGAAGTCGCTCCAAATCCACATGTGTGAAATAGCTTTAAGAGTAAGCCTATCCCTGCTAGCACAATAGATGAAACCACTGCATAAAAATAACAACAAACAGAGCTCTCATCTCCTTCTGTATTGTGTCCTGGATCCAATGTTGTTAGTCATACTGTATTGTTAGTCTAATTTCATCATTCCATTTCTGGAAAAGTCCTCAACATTAATGTTATCGTATCAAAGCCAGTCACTTAATATAGTAAGAAATAGATTGTCAAGATGCTGTATCACAGCCAGTCATATCATAACGTGAATAGAAATGATCCTATAAGCTCCAGAACGAAAACTACTGTAAAAAAAAGTTTATAAATAAGATTGGAGAGAGGACAACCCTGTCTGTTTAATTTATGATTCTCAGCTCTCTGCTTCAACAATGATCCCAGATGTTGCAGCAAAATGAAATGTTTGTATTTTTCATTGTTTAAAGATAAAGTATTGTGGGATTGTTTGTGTTTGTGAATATGATGATTTACTGCTTTTTGCCTCCAATTCATCTAATTTGTTCCAACACTTTGTCAGTGTTGCAAAATAGAGTGTGTAAGTGCTGACCGAACTAAATGGCAAGTTAATGTACGTTATTAAAAATGGATT